TATTGGTTGTTTTATTGATCTGAGCTCATATGTTTCATTGCAGGTACGATTTGCGTTGATAATACATTTTATGAAGGATTTTTCCTCTTTCGTTACAGTCATGTACTTTTCACATTTATATTTACTTGGTTTTTATCTTTTTAAAACAACTGTTCATTTTGTCATCTCGTGGTCTTGATTAGCTTATTTGAACCTTGGTCGACTAACTGATCTGTCAATTAGTGTTGTGCTCAACTTATCTAATTTGCTCATACACATGAACTGGATAGGTAGATTTAACGTTGCTGAGATATAATTTTATTTAAACACTTAATAGTACTTGACTTTTTTGCTGTCTCTATTGAATACGCTCTAATGCATTCTTACAAATGGTCCCATCATTTATTATGGCTTGATTTAATTATAATAGTTTTTTTATTAAGACGCATTTAGGCGTTACTAGGGTCTTTTGCTCGTCAATGTTCTGCTTATAAGTTAATACTACAGCATTATAATTCCGCATTTCTATCCTTTAAACTTTTTACATTGCCTGCTCACGCCACTGGTCTACGAAGACATACAGCCTGCTTCACAGCATTCTCTACTGTACAGTATCTCTCTTCCTGGTACGCACCAAGTACTATTTTGCCTGGTCACTAGCTGAGGTGAATGGGATGACCGCTGGCAACGGTTACTCCGGTGTGTGTCCGCGCACCGGGCGCACTCTGTGGGATGGGGTGCGTAACTTCGATTTTTGGGCCGTAGAACTCGGCGTCGGCCTTAAGAACGTAATTGATGGCTGGAATGTCAGTACAACGCATTGGCTTCGTGAAGTCTTCTATAACCGGGCGCCCAACAGTTGTCGTACTTTAATCGTCTTTATATCTTCTGCCTTCTGGCATGGATTCTATCCCGGTTACTACGTGATGTTCCTCACATTTGCCCTTTTTACATTCGCAAGCCGCGCCTGGCGTCGTGAGATGCGAATACGTTGTCGGCCAACGCCCTTGGCTGCACGTGTCTACGATGCCATAACTTTGACATTGACCTACACTGCACGTAACTATGCTGAGGCACCGTTCCATCTGTTGGAGTTGGCTGTCAGTTTGCGCTTTCTACGGCTCTTCTCTTTTTTGCCCCACGTTGTCGGCCTAGCGGTGCTCATTTTCCTCGGCGGTTGTCTCCAATGGCGCAGCATATGCTCGAGTTGCCTGCCGTCATCAGCTCGAGGCAAGGCACACTCGAAGACCTCACCCGAGGTGCGCGGCGGCTCTGTCAATCGTCGCGGTCAGACTCCCCCTGCACCTTTACAAACGCCTGCAATTACGGCCGTACCAGCGGTCTCATTATCCACACTCAACATGTCTGGCCACACAAATGTTCACGGGTTTAATCACACGGGGACCTTTTCGGTACCTGTGCCGGCTAGTACTACTCCCACCAGCACCAGTACACACCAGCCAGCTGGTGATGAATCCCGACTGGCTTATAAGGTGCTTGCTCAAACGCATCCGATGCAAACTGGCCTTGTACACATGCAGCCTCCAAGACGTAGCGCCTGAGTCTGACCAATTTGTTTATACTTTAACTACAATTACCACCACCACAAAATTTTTCCAAGTATTTATCACTCACTTCATTGTATTTCCCTCTAAAACCTCATTTTAATGTGTCAATCAATCGTTCGATCAATCAAAAATTTTTCTACACCCAACCACAGATACATCGATTCTTTTTTTATACTTATATGCAAGTTATCTGCTTATCTATTGCAATGTTCATAAATTTATAGATACCGTTGAATTTCTTGCCTAAATTGAAGTCTTTGAGTCTGGTAACCTTTTGTCTCAGTTAATTCTGTCTTCATCGAAATATCTTTACTCTTACTTTATCCACTGGTGATGCTTTAGGTTGTCATTCATAAACTCATACACCAGTCTCGAGTCAATTGCACTGACGGACTGCCAGAGTCTCGCTTGTATCGAATTCGGCTCAAATGAGATTGCCCTCTTACCTCCACGTTGGAAGTGGAATATTATGACAATGCTTGAATTGCATTGAACCGCTCGCCTTTATCCCACGTTCATATCCGGTTATAGTCTTTTCTTCATATGATTTTTCACGTCTCTTAACTGTTCGCATTTTTCCCTCTTGCATGACATGCGTTTCTTTGTCGCTAGCACTTATTTCACCTGCACTTTTAAAACAAAGATCTGGCCCATTTCTTATATCACTTTTTTCTTGACGCTTATTTTTTTAGAAGGATGGTATATATTGTTGTTGTCACTTTTTTTGGACGATTTTCTTATGCTTGAACTTCTTTGGATTTTTTTATTTTAATTTTCTTTCTCTCCGACTGCTTACTCGACTTTTCTGTTTATCAATTTCGACGATATTTTTTAAAATATTACGCTTATAGCAAAAATTATCTGTAATTTTTAGCTTATTTTGTCCCTCTATTTCTACAGTGCTCTTTCTCTATTGTCTTATCTTCTTATGTATCTTTCACTCTACTGGTATGTCTATTAACATTTTCTATCTCTGTTCTTATATTTGTTAATGTTTTTCCGTACACGATTTGGGGATTTCGTTTTCTTGATTCAATTTGCGTTTATTCCGTCTTACGTACACATTGATCCCTCCTTTATTTCTCTTACATTTGTCTATTTCATGTCAGATTTTCTTTGTTTTTAGCACTTCATTACTTTTGCCAACGTATACTCTATTTTATTTTGGATAGAAAAAAATATCATGTGGCTGAAACTAATCTCCCTTATCATCCATGATTTTATTTGCTGATCTCACTATTTATCTACTATACATTAAATCTAATTTATTGGATACTCTTAATCATGCTTATTAAGTTCTATCAAATCTTGTCCTGATTTACTTCACTACTCCATACACCACATCCCTGAATCCAGCCGCGCATATTTCATCCACATTTGCGTTTGGATAGATCATCAATCCAATCTTCATATTAGGGATGGACTAGTGCCGAACATGCACTACTTTATTCGTACAGATTGATCTTGCTTGTATTTACTCTTCATGACTGGCACATTGACGCTTAATCCATTGCGCCGACATAATCACTTTTCAACTTCAGTGACTAAATTCGAAGGTCTGTTCACTAATGTACAAAAGAAGCCACTCTTATGCTGTCCAGGTTTTTGGCTAGTTGCTAGTGCACAATAAATACTGTCACTGTTCATAATTATATCTTCATTTTTTATTAGATGTTTGATTGCACTTGCAATTCTTAACTAAGCTAAGCTAAGGCCTAATAGTTTTCCCACAATCAGATGAGGCCTCGGGATGCCAGTAAATCCTACCTAACATTGCCTTCTTTAGAGTATATCTCGTCTAGGATTGACTGCTGTTTCAATCGTCAGAACTGGTCTGGTCGACACACCCAGCGGGATTCGGTACTTGGATGTGGCGACATTTACCACTCCATTACACGGTCGCGGGTGCTGAGTCGCAGGATAGATGCGACATTTAAGGCAAACCTACTTACATCAAAAAAAGTTTATTATTATCATAATCCTTGATGTTTGCGGATTTTCATAGACAATTTAATTTATTTTGTGGATCCGAGCTCGTCTTCGCAACTTGTTCGGAGCGACAGGGAGATCTTATCGAACGTACCTAGTTCTGCGTCCTCTGCCATAGCGAGCATGATGAATTCCAGCATCGAATAGCTGATCTAGTACATTCCCAGAGGCTCCACCAGCAGCGTCAGGGGAAGGCCCTATCCCTAGCACAGGATTACAGCTTGTTAGTGACAAGTGGAGGCAATTCCTTCGATCAAGGTTATGTTCAACCTTTGTACCTTATGTAAAGAAAAGTTGGGTTTCGACGAATCTCTTGTTTCACAATTGTTGAGCTTATTTCCATTTCGAGTGAGTTAGTGGTGAAGAGATTCGAAGGTCTATTCCACCAGAAGATGACGGCGGATTCCTTTTGATCAGCTGTCGATTGGCTTTACTGGAAAATTCATGGTGAAGCTTTTTCCCAGGTAATATCCTTCGATTCCTGTGAAATGGTGCCAAGCTTTCGTCCGTAATATGAAAAACATCATCAGAGCAAGGTATCATCATCACAACCAGATTCAAGCTAACGGGTCAAGCAAGCTCACTGGCAAATCCATAAAAAGCTGTATATATACTCTATATCGGGCCTCTTTGATCAGGTATAAAGGGATTCGGTTAGTTCCAGTCATATGTCAACCTCGAAGCCTGTGAGTGTGTCTGTCTTTCTATGTTTATGTGCCTATTTGTGTTAGCTTATGCACGAAACCAGCATTGATGGCTTAAAGTAAGTAGGACATTAAAAGTGATGTCTATACTTGGTCATCAAGGTTTGATGACCACTATTTCCAACCTTTCTGTATATATGTTATAACCATCGCTCCGGTTGTGCTAGGTCGGATACGCGTCTGGTCATGTTGATCAGCCCTTTTTTGGTTTTGGTCTTAACCCGAGTGGGAAAGTGTGAGCTGTACCTATAGAGAAAATACTATGCTTAAAACTAAGACAAAAAGGGTAGTTGAGTCGCCTCCTTTTGCAGGCGGCCTCTACCTACCTCTATCCTTAAGTCTATTAATTAAGCTTAAGTGATTTTGACTTATCTTCTTGCCGGTATTCTTTAACTTCAATGTATTTCCTATTCGGTTTATTTCGATGGCTTCTCTAATTTTTCGTTTAGCCGCAGACATGCCATAATCCGCAAAACGAGAAGTCTGAGATCATTTAATCTCTTCTCCCGTTTCTGCCCTGTGCTGTCAGCTCCGATTTCTGAACCCAACAGCCTTCGCAGGCGCTTTTGTGCTCAGCCACCCTTTTCCGAATAGGACGACAAGTCTCTCCAGCATAAAAGCGACCAGATGAACAAATTTTGTAGCAACCCGATCTGGATAATGAGTCAATCTTCTCCCTAAAAGTGGGCATAGCTGAAGAAAGTGTCGTAGTCTTCCTGAAGACTGTTTTATTCCCCACTTCCTTACTTGTTCACCTATCCTTTTAGAGAGAATGCACGAAGGTAAAGACAATACATGGGCAAATGTCTCCATATCTCTCCTTATGTATTCACCATTCAAAAAGCTATTCTTTTTTAATCTCATGTTATTTTCAATCAAGCCTAGGGGATAATTATTCTCAAGAAATATTATTTTAAGCCGATTTATTTCATTTTCACAATGGTCTGCATCAGCTAGTCTTATGCTCTGAATAATCATGGATTTTAAAACTCCAACCTTTATTTTGTAACTATGATTGGAGAAGAAGTTAAGCATAAAGA